TTGGTGATGATGGGGTATTACGGATGCAGGGCCGGATATGTGTGCCTAATGTAGATAGTCTACAAGAGTTGATTCTTGAGGAGGCCCACAGCTCGTGGTATTCCGTTCATCCAGGTGGCGCGAAGATGTACCGGGATTTGAGACAACACTATTGGTGGAGGAGAATGAAGAAGGATATAGTTGGGTTTGTAGCTCGGTGTCTCAACTGTCAACAGGTAAAGTATGAGCATCAGAGACCAGGTGGATTGCTCCAGAAGATAGAGATTCCAGAATGGAAGTGGGAGGGGATCACCAAGGATTTTGTAGTTGGGCTCCCGCGGACTTCGAGGAAGTTCGATGCTATTTGGGTGATTATAGATTGGCTGACCAAATCTGCGCACTTCATTCTAGTTGTTACTACTTATTCTTCAGAGCGGTTGGCTGAGATTTACATCAGAGAGATTGTTCGCCTTCACGGTGTGCCTATTTCCATCATTTTGGATAGAGGCACGCAGTTTACATTGTAGTTTTGGAGAGTCGTGCAGCGAGAGTTGGGAACTCAGGTTGAGTTGAGCACAACGTTTCACCCTCAGACGAAAGGACAGTCCGAGCGCACTATCCAGATATTAGAGGACATGCTACGCGCTTATGTCATTGATTTTGAGGGTTCATGGGACCAATTTCTATCGCTCATGGAGTTTCCTTACAACAATAGTTATCAGTCGAGCATTCAGATGGCTCCATACGAGGCTTTATATGGGAGACAGTGTAGATCTTCGGTGGGATGGTTTGAGCCGGGTGAGGCTACGCTTTTGGTACAAACTTGGTTCAGGATGCATTAGATAAGGTAAAATTGATTCAGGAGCGGCTTCGCACAGCGCAGTCGAGGCAGAAGAGCTATGCTGATAGGAAAGTCCGTGATGTGTCTTACATGGTCGGGGAGAAGGTTCAAGGTATCACCCATGAAGGGTGTTATGAGGTTTGGGAAGAGGGGCAAGTTGAGCCCTCGGTTCATTGGGCCTTTTGAGGTGCTTCAGAGAATTGGGGAGGTGGCTTACAAGCTTGCCTTGCCACCTAGCTTGTCAAGTGTTCATCCAATATTTCATGTTTCTATGCTCCGAAAGTATACCGGCGATCCGTCTCATATTTTAGATTTCAGCACGATTCAGTTGGATGGTGATTTGACTTATGATGTGGAGCCGGTGGACATTTTGGGGCTGTAGGTTTGAAAGTTGAGGTCAAAGGATACAACTTCAGTGAAAGTGCAGTGGGGAGGTCAGCCCGTGGAGGAGGCCACCTGGGAGACCTAGCGGGATATGCGGAGCAGATATCCACACGTGTTTGAGACCTCAGGTATGTTTCTAGACCCATGTGAGGATGAACATTTTGCTTAAGAGGGGGAGGATGCAACAACCCGGCCGATCGTTTCGAGAGTTATAGCCCCGTTCCAATATTTTTCTCTTATTTTGTGTTCTATAGCTCTATTATGACTTTTGGGTCCGGAGTGATTTCGGAGTGAATTGAGACACTTAGTCTCTTAATTGGAAGTTTAAGTTGGAAAAGTTGACCGAATGTCGACTTATGTGTAAAAGAGCTCAGATTTGAATTTTGATGGTTCCGTTAGATCCGTTAGATGATTTTGTACTTAGGAGCGCATCTGGAATATGATTTGGGGGTCCGTAGTAGAATTAGGCTTGAATTTTGGCAAATTTGACCGCAGTGGAAATTTTGATATCGGGGTCGGATTTAATTTTTGGGAATTGGAGTAGGTTCGTGGTGTCATTTATGATTTGTGTGCAAAATTTGAGGTCAATCAGACATGGTTTGATAGGTTTCGGCGTCGTTTATAGAATTTGGAAGTTCATTAGGCTTGAATCCGAGTGGAACCCGTGTTTTTTATGTTGATTGGGGTGATTTGAGAGTTCGACTAAGTCCGTATTGGGTTATAAGACTTGTTGGTATGTTTGGTTGAGGTCCCGAGGACCTCGGGTGAGTTTCGGATGATTAACCGATCAAGTTGGCTGTTTGAAGAATTACTGAAGATGGCATATTGCTGGTGTAATCGCACCTGCGAGGGGTCTAGCCGTAGGTGCGACAGGATGGCGCAGATGCGGGCAAGGCCAAGCTGGACAGGAGGCGCATGTGCGAGAAAGGGAGCACATCTGTGAGCCCGCAAATGCGAGAATGGCTCTACTGATGCAATAGGTGAAGACTTGGTTGTTTCCGCAGAAGCGGGTGAAGGACCGCAGATGCGCGTCCGCATGTGCGAGACATGGAGCGCATGTGCGAGCCCAGTGGTTTAAGTGACTTTCGCAAAAATGTAGTTTCGACCGCAGAAGCAGCTCCGCAAGTGCGAAAAGCCTGGGCAGAACATATAAATACGGGACTTCAAGATTTTCACCATTTTCATCACCTTGAGCTCGAATTTTGGAGGATTTTGAGAGGCATTTTAAAGTGATTACTGAGGTAAGCTCCTTGTGTCTATTTATCTTTGATAATGGTGTTTCCCCGTTGATTTTACACCTAGTTGGTGAGTTTTTGAGGTGAAATTTGGGAGTTTAAGGCTTGAGAATTGGAGAGTGAATTTTAGGGATCTGGAGGACCGAATGGTGTCAGATTTTGATAAATTTAGTATGGTTAGACTCGTGAGTGAATGGGCTTTCGGATTTTGTAACTTTTATCGGATTTCGAGATGTTGGCCCAGGGTCCGGGTTAAGCCAATTTCGGATTTTTGGCTCTAATTTAGTAGTTTTTTGTAGGATTGATCCCTTTAGCCTATATTAATTGTATTGTACTGCTTGTGGCTAGATTCGGGACATTTGGAGGCCGACTCGCGAGGCAAAGGCATTTTGGAGTAGCGTTTTGCTCGGATTGAGGTAAGTAACAGTTTTAAATATGGTCCTGAGGGTATGAAACCCTGGATTTTGTGTTGTGTGATTATTTTGTAGGTGACACGGTGCTAGGTGACGGGTGTGTGGGCATGCACCGAAGGGATTGTGACTTGGTCCGTCCCGTGAGACTGTAAAGTTCAATAGCTTACTGTTAACTACATGATCCCTCTGTTTTATGGAAATTTGACTGCAATTCATGTTAGAATCTATGCTTAGGCCGTATAATATCACTGATGGGACCCGTTGACGTCGTGTACTTGTTCAATTAGCTGTTATTTGTTGTCTTGTACTCAGTCATGATTTTTCTTCGTACCATACCTCCATCTCTTCTTCTTCCTTGTTGACACATGTTATTATCTCTGTTTGGGCTGATTTATATGATTGCTGAGAGCCCGAGAGACTAGGGAGGTTGATGACTGAGTGAGGCCGAGGGCCTGAGGGTGAGGTATAGATATTATAGCATGTGAGTGTCCGTGCGGATCCTGATATGATATTGTAGCACGTGAGTTGTCCATGCGGATCTTGATATGATATTATAGCACGTGACTTGTCCGTGCAGATATAGCGCTTGGCTGTAGGAGCCCCTACGGAGTTTGCACACCCCAGTGAGTGCAAGTACCTATTGAGTATGAGTATTGAGGGCCGAAAGCCGAGTGATTGAGCCGTTGAGATGAGTTGAGTGACTGTTGCCTTGAGATGCGGTACTTGCTTTCATTTGTTATTGCACTTAGTTGGTATATGTCATTATTGTGAAATTTCTGGAAGATTTTATATTCGGTTTGCTTGAACTTGAAATTGTACAAAAACTGATTTGGCTTAAACTGCCGGATTTGAAAGCATGACTATTCTTTACTGGAATTACTGAAATGAACTGTATTTGTATAGCTCGTCACTGTTTCTCAGTTCCTTATTTGTTTCTGTTACTTACTGAGTTGGTTGTACTCACATTATACCCTGCACTTTACTGTTTATATTTTGTTCTATTTCAATGTTTATATCATGTATCATGCATACTATATGTACAATATGCATAAATTCAGGTGTATTAAGCTGTATTAAAAAAATAGAGACCTTCGAAATATATAAATACAGGCAAAAAAAATATTTATACAAAAATACAATGTGTTTGAGTGAATTTGTATAAAATACAACGTATTTGTATCACTATATGTAACTAAATAGCAAAGAAGAGAAGAAGGTTCGCCGGCGATGGTATTTTCCGGCCAAGTAAAATACTGTATACATTGTATTAAAACTAAAAATGAAGGCGAACAAAAATTCCGGCCCTCAAATCTTCTTCGGTGTAGAAAATATTATAATATCTGTTGTTCATGTTATAGTACCCGTACTTTACTCAGATTATTCCGACATCATTTTTGCTCCCGGTGCAGTGGCCCCAGCCCCAGAGCGACGAGCCCCTCCTTGCTATGGAGGAATATGATTTTGAAGAAAAGGTTCGTCTTTCCCCTCTTTATCCCAACATCATTTTTGCTCCCCGCGTAGTGGCCCTAGCCTCAGAGCAACGAGCCCCTCCTTGCCATGGAGGAATCTGATTTTGAAGAAAAGGAAGGATTCGACCAAATTAGAAGGAGGTATTTTGGTCAAAAAGAGAGAAGGAAGATAGAGAGATTGAAGAAAATTTTTACTGAGATTTTGAGAGAGAATAGTGTGTTACTGAAAGAAAGAGAGAGAAAACACACAAATAGCGTACTTCACACCTCAATGGCAGGGTATACCATAAATATCTATTTTGCTATAAAATATAAAATGTAGCTATAGCAAATAATATTTTAAAATAATTTTGGTTTATAATAAACATGGTGTATACATTTGCTACAAGAGATAAAATTTCCATTCTAATATGCTTAGGCGTGTTTCTATCGTCTTAACAAATAGCCATTGTGAAGGATTCTATTTAGAGATAGATAGGTACTTATTTTATCCTGAAATTTTAAACTAAAAATCTTAAATTCAGGATAATTTAGGATATTTTTATCCTGAAAAATTAAATGTATTGGCTAATTCATAAATAACAGCCTTTTAGAGTGGCTAGCATTTCTAAGAAGAAACACCATAATGGGCCCGACTGAAAGCGGCCCATTAAAAGAAGTTCATTTCGGGGGCACCATTGCTACTGCTTTTGCTGCCTGAATTGGAGTCACTTTCTTCCCTTTCAAGCTCTAAACTTGAACTCCGTCAAGCCCTAATCTCACTCTCCTCCCACCTCCTTCTGCCGTGAGGTTTAATTTATTCCTCTATTCCTGTGACCTGTTGCTCGTGAGTTTTTTCCCGTATTATTTATTTAATTACTTTAGGCTTTTAGCATCTTTTCCCGGTTTTTGCTCTTGAGTGGTTAGCATATATATTTATTTGTCGAGATTCTTCTTTTCCTTTCGCCTATTCGATGGTTTTATTTCTGCAATGTTTGATTTTGTTGTTTAATCATGTGTGTTTTGAATTTTTTTTTTATATTTTTGTTGGTTTTGACAGATGCTTACCTATAGGTCTTCTTGTAGTTAGTTGTAACTTCCATGTATCTATAGCTCTGGAACTGTTGGATTCAAATTGCATTACTAAACCTTTTTTCTCTTTATGTCTTAAAGAAAAATGCTGTGGAATTGTTATTACTATAACATTGTTTTGTACCTTCTCCTTTCCTATTTCGTAGGCGTAGGGAGAAAAAGGATAAAGAAATCTCCTCAATTCAATGGCGAGAAGCCTCATTTCTCATGTCCGCTGCCTCTTCTCAGAAACTCAGTACAGAACTTTCAGTAGCCAAGTGGAGGAACTAAGAAATCGGATTATAGAAGGAAAACCTGGGATCATGACTCCAAACTCGAAACGGACAGGAGCAATAGCTGTAAAATGTGGAATGACAGCACTCTGGGACAAATGGGGTGAACGCCTCCCCATCACCATCCTTTGGTTAGATGATAACATTGTTTCCCAGGTTAAAACACCGGAGAAAGAAGGCATCTCCGCCCTACAGGTGAATTAATTATGCTAACTTCTTAAAGACTGAATTTTTGTCCCAAAAAACAAAGAAAAAAGAAAACTAGAATAAGAAATATTTTGTCAGTGTAAGCTGTCATTTTAATCGTTGTGACAACTTTGTGAATGGGGTTTCAAGCCTGAAATAGATATTCTGGTGGCTTTTACAATTAATATTGGTTGAATAAGTTCTTTACTAATCGACTAGAAAGTAATAAATAAAAGAAACTTGTTGAATAAATGACATTGAAGACTGTATGAATTACTCCTTACGCTGTGGTGTAGTTTAATTGATCTTTAGTTTGCTGGTAGTTAGATTGGATGTGCTCACAAAAAGGAGAAGCATTTGACAAAACCTGAAGTAGGTCATTTTAGAGCACAAGGTGTGCCCATGAAGAGAAAGTTGAAGGAATTTCCTGTTACAGAAGATGCACTTCTTCCTAGTGGAACGAGCATCAGCGTCCGCCATTTCGTTCCGGGCCAGTATGTGGATGTTACTGGAATTACAAGAGGGAAAGGCTTTCAGGTGTGGAGTAATCTTAATTGTGTTTATTGTTTGATTAGTTGTTTTTTATTGCTCTTTTCCTGTTATGGACTTCCTCACTTCACTATAGGATATTAATGTTTTTGATGTGAACTCTCTAAGCATTAGCTAATGGTAGAAAGATTTTTTTGTTTGTGGAACAAAATTCCACCTTTCTACTTTCTGTTCCACCTCTTATTATGCAATTTGAACTGTCATTGTTGTCTCGCTATTGGAAGGTGTATCTCGTTGTATGAACTGTACTAAAGATGGGAAATTTCATGTGCAGGGTGGGATGAAAAGATGGGGGTTTAAAGGTATGCCTGCATCACATGGTGCTTCATTATCCCACAGAAGTATTGGTTCTACAGGTCAAAGGGATGCTCCAGGAAAGGTAGGTATTACCTTTTCTTCAATTTTATTTAGTAATTTACGGTGCTTGAGTTTTATTTTTACAATTAAATAAGTTGGCACTTGCTACACGCCTCATTTGGTCTAAAGAATGCTCAAAAGCCTGTGACACTTTAAATTCGTTGGGAGCTTTAACCTCTCATCTGGAGCAGAGAACTTACATTGCCCAAATTGCATTTGATACCCTTGATTAGCTAATTTGGCTAACTGGTTTATTTGAAGTAAATGAACAATTGCATTTTGGATAATGCTGTCGTGGAATCTAGTTAATGTTACAAGCTTCTGCTTACATTTGTATTTATTTCTTTAAAGGTATTTAAAGGGAGAAAGATGCCTGGGCGCATGGGTGGAGTGCAACGAACTGTTAAAAATGTTTGGGTCTACAAGATTGATCCTGCCAGAAACTTGATGTGGGTCAAAGGCCAGGCAAGATTTTGAAACTCTTTCTCGTTTTCTTTAAACTTGAAACAAGTGGATATGAGAGTTATCCTCCCGTATGCATTATTTAAATATAATTCTCTTTCTTGTGCAATCTTTCAGATGAAATTCTNCCAACCACAGTTGTGTGTGCTTGCTAATGAATATTATTTACCTATAAAAAACTGAGCAGTCTGCAAATGTATGAGGACTAGGGCGGTTCACTTTTCTTTCTTGGAGGTAACTGTGAATTTAAGTTTGAAGAAAGGCGTCATTTCGAATCTCTTGCATGGAACTGTGGTATAACTTCTTTGATCTTGTAAAGAGGGTGGAATTCTTCATTATGATGCCAGTCCTTGCCCAGTTATATGGGTAGATAACTCAGAGCCAGTGACTTACTGTAACTTTCTTTTCAGGTTCCAGGAGCTGAAGGTAACTTTGTATTCATTAAAGATTCTGTGTACAAGAAGCCAGATATTTCAATGCTTCCATTTCCCACTTACTTTGCCCCAGAAGATGAAGACCAAGCTGATTTGGAACCACTAGTAGCGGATCTTGGTGGTACAGACCCGTTTATGGCTGCTGATTAGTTGTAGCCAACCTGGCTGTGGACTACAGCAATCCTCTATCCGTTCTTTTACCTTTTTATTGTAAGTGGTTTTGCGTGGGCAGGGGCTTATTTAGAAGGAAGTTATTTGTGGTAGTGTTTTGGCATTTTCTTTGGCTGACGGGATTCAACTAGTAATTTCGAGTTATACTACAAACAGCAGCAGCAAGACCTACCCATGGTGGTCTGCTCCCTTCTCTTAGGACAGTCATTATAGAATTTGGAACCAGAGTTTCAAAGAATCTCAACTTGTTAAAGGCGATGTTGTCATTCTTGTAGTTAGTTGTAAGCTGGTATTAAGGTAATTTCTTGTCTTTATTTGGAATAGAAGCATATGAGAGATCAATATACTATGAACTTTGTTCATAGCACAATTGAGTTTGTTGATTGGCAATTGTTTTTTTAAAAGGAGTCCGGTAGCTATCACGTATGTGCTCTATCTATATCTTCTGTACATCTATATTAAAAGCACGAAGTGCTTACCCTTTAAAAATAGAGCTCACACTAGATAATATAGTCATTTAATTATTTTTCTAATTTTTAGGTAGTTAAAACCTACTAAGTTTTATTTGCCAAATCCTTCCTTATTTGCACTATGTACAAAATTTTAATATTTAAAACTTAAAAATCTATTTAGATTTCACCATTTTAATTACATATAACTGTAGAATAAACACAAAAACACTAACCTAAATATCTCAACAGTTATGCAAATCTATCTATAAATCTATAATTAAAAGCAGAAGACAAAAGCACCTCATGAAGCCAAATGGCAGAACAATAGAATGACACATGGCATAATTAGTTATTAAATTAGTTATTGGTTATTCTTTTTAATTTAAATATATCTAAAAAATGAAAATAATTAAAAAAACTACCATATATATGTATATATATATATATATATATATATTAATTGGTTACTTTAATTTAATTAATAAATATAGATTTCTTACCTATATCTATATTAATAATTAACTATAATAAAATAATAAAAAAAATATATATAAAAAAGTAACTACCCGTTCAAATTGGGTGGGAGTAGTTTCAAATTGGAATTTTTAAATTATTTTAAAATCAAAAAGCAAAAAAAAAATAAAGCTATAAAAAATGGAAAAAAACACNAAGTTGGAGTTTTTAAATTATTTTAAAATAAAAAAACAAAAAAAACTATAAAAAACAAAAAAAATAGAAAAAAACCAACTCATTCAAATCATGGAGTAGTTTCAAGTTGGTGTTTTAAAATAATTTTAAAATAAAAATAGATATCTTATAATTAACTATAATAAAAAAACTAAAATATAAATATATAAGAAAATAACTACCCATTCAAATTGGTAGTTATTTTTAATTAATAATTAGTTATTGGTTACTTTATTTAAATTAATAAATATAGATATCTTATAATTAACTATAATATAAAAATAAAAATAAAAATATATAAAAAAATAACTACCCATTCAAATTGGGTGGAAGTATTTTTAAGTTGGAGCTTTTAAATTATTTTTTTTAAAAAAGCAAAAAAAAAATCTATAAAAAACGAAAAAAGAGAAGAAAAACTACTCATCCAAATCAGGAGTAGTTTCAAATGTGAGATTTAAAATAAAAAATGAAATTAAAAAATAATAAATTATCAATTCAAATTGGGGAGTAGTTTTAAGTTGGAGTTTTAAAATTAATTGAAAATAAAAAAAAAACAAAAATAAAGAAATAAAAAAAACTTGAGAGAAAAATATTAAATAACGTAATATGCTAATGAAACTTTCTATTAACAATGTAGTAGCATTAAATATTTGAAAATATAATAAAGAAAAATACATAACAAAAAAGTTATTCGATGCGCTGCTTGTATACGTCCCTTAGTTTAACAAATATTTTTTTCACTAAAATTTAGATAATATTATTAAGAACAACAGAATCTATATATTACTAAAAGGAGAGGAAAAAGTCCTTTCGTTAATCCAAGTGGCAGCTTAAAAAAAAAGCAACATGACATAATTAGTAACTAAATTTATTATTTAGTTAATAATTAATTATTGGTTATTCTTTTTTAATTTAAATATATATAAAAATGAAAATAATAATAAAAAAAATAAAACTACCATATATATGAATATATTCATATATATATATATATATATATATATTAATTGATTACATTATTTGAATTAATAAATATAGATATCTTATAATTAACTATATAAAAAATGAAAATATAAATATAAAAAAAAAACTACCCATTCAAATTGGGGAGTAGTTCAAGTTGGAATTTTAATATAATTTTAATATAAAAACAAAATTAAAAAAAATAAATAAATTACCAATTCAAATTGGGGAGTAGTTTTAAGTTGGAGTTTTAAAATTATTTAAAAATAAAAAAACAAAAATAAAGTAATAAAAAAACTTCAGAGAAAAATATTAAATAACGTAATATGCTAATGAAACTTTCTATTAACAAAGTAATAGTATTAAATATTGAAAGATATAATAAAGAAAAATACATAACAAAAACGTTATTCGATGCGCTGCCTGTATAAGTCCCGTTAGTTTAACATAGATTTTATTCACTAAAATTTAGATAATATTATTAAGAACAACATAATAAAAATTTTTAAAAAAAAAATCAATAGTAATAAATTATATATCTTCTCATATATTACAAAAAAAAAAAAAGCGAATACTAAATATTTTTTAATATAATAAAGAAAAATAGAACAAAAAAATTATTCACTGACTATATAAGTACGTTTGATTTAATAGAGATTTCATTATTGGGTATATCGTATTGACAAATAAGATGATAATTGAATTTTATTAAAGCAATACGATCTAATAGGATCAAACAAACCTGATCATAATTTAATTTAATTAATATTTTTTTAATATTGACCGCGCATCGCGCGGGTACGACTACTAGTTATATTAACATGTAAACCAATTGACGATGTAATAATCATTAAAAGATAATGAATACATATGTAGGCCTACTTATATAATTAAATAAGGAAACATATATAAATATTCGAACTATATATGTCAAATAGGAGTACTAAAATATGACATGAGGGAAATATCACATATGTATAGGAAAATATCAAACTTGTCACGACCCAAACCGATGGACCGCGACGAGCACCGATACCTTACTCAACCGAGTACCAACATAACGTATCTTTTCATATCATACTATCATAAATAATTGAGCCGGAGAGGCTGCCATGAAATAGGTAGAATACAACAGGTAATGTCAACTTATACATAAGACATATGGGCCTCTAAGACCAAAATAACCACTCGAACACTGAACATAGGCCGACAAGGCCATACAATCTTTTACGTACATGACATCTGTCTACAAGCCTCTAAGAATACATAATTTTCATAAAGGTCGGGACAGAGTCCCGCCATACCATACAATACACATCTAACTCATACTAACCAGACAAGCAACTCCGAAGCAAATGGAGCGCACTAACATCTTCCGCTGAGCTGATAGCCTACTTGGAGGGCTCTTGACCTGTTTATCGAGACCTGCAGGCATGAAACGCAGTGTCCCCAGGCAAAAAGGGACGTCAGTACGAATAATGTACTGAGTATGTAAGGCACATAAATAAGTACATAACAGACATGGAGGAAATATAGAGTAAACGACTCCACCTGTAAGTCCGAATAACTTTCTAAATTATGAAACAATTATAGTATCATGCATATGCGTATGAATGTCATGTCGCGCATATGTATATGTTTCATAACATTATCAGCCTTTGAGGGCATCCCATCATATCATCTTGGCCACTGTGAGCAAAATCATCAACGTATGCCAGCTGATCAGGTGGTGGTGTGTATATAATGCCATAACCTTTCCCAATACCCCATATACATATATATACATACATATATACGTATATATAACGCCATCTGGTCATGAGTCAATGCACATGAAAGCAATGCAAGAAAAGTACGTTAATAAAATCTTTCAGAATTTCATAAGACCCATTTTGCCTTTGAGTAATATCATAAAGTAAATTCTTTTCAATGTTCGTATTTTTCTGAGACCCATGAACACATGATAGAATATTATGACACATGCAAATTCAAGAACATGGATATCTCTAATACTTCTATGAATAGAGTCATTTATGGAATTTGTGCATTTGCTCGTTTCTTTTGTGTCGTATAGATCATGCCAAAAGAAAGAAGGGATAACCTTAACATACTTAAACTGATTCTCTTGACAATCTCTCCAACACACGTTGATTGCGACAAAACATGTAATGGCGGATCGAAGTAGGGAAAAATCCATATGATATTCTTTGAGAAAGATTGCACCGTACTCCCTTAGAATCGCAAAATCTCATTGCCATAATATTACGTAGTCTCGCATGATTTTTGTAGCAAAATTCACATTGCTAACATTTTGAAGGAGTTGCTATAGTATTAAGTAGTAGTATTCTATATGAATTTTGCTAAAAGGGAACGATTCTTGTAGCTTTTGCATAAGCATCTCAATTCTTGCTATTTTAAGAGATCTTTTAAACTTTACATGACTAAGCCACCTCATCCTTCAATTGTGACACCAATCTTATGTATTTAAGAGTCACATTATAAGACTTTCGGGGCTACCACGTTTAGGATGATGTTCTCCCTTAATCTTATCCACCAAATACCTTAATTATTAATCTTCCTCAAAAAATTCACAATTAACCAAATATCAACATAATTAAGAATTGTCTCAATTTACTTAAAATACTACTCTCTTTTAACATAACTTGTACACCTTATGGTCATTTAGTACCTTGTATGGCACTAGTCCATAAATATCGGGTATTTTAGCTCAGGCCGTAATTTACCCCAAAATGCCAAACTTTGACGAAAATTCATTTTCTTTGACTTGCTTCCCCTTTCACCTTCACGAATTTACTCATCACTTGTGAAATAGCATAATACTTATAATTTCCAAATAATCTTTTACTTGGACTGATGTCAATTACCTTAGGACAAATTCAACGTACAATACTACAAGGTGCAATATCGTCGTAACTTAATATTGTGAAGCGTAACATCACCGTAATGTAATACTGCAGGGTGCAACATTGTCGTAACTTAATACTGCGAAGCGTAACATCATCGTAATGTAATACTGCAAGGCATAACATCATCATAATATAATACTGCAGGACGTAACATCATCGTAATATTACGGGGTTTAACATCATTTCCCCCTTTGGAACATTCGTCCTCGAATGTTGACTGATGCTCTTATCATTTTCATAACTTATAGCTCTTGTGAATACCTTAACGCTCTCCTTGCCATTTAAGTAGTTGCTCTGTGAATAAATCCAAAGTCTAGTGAATCCCCCCTTTAGTCTTTTTGCTCGTATCATGATTTGTGGTCGAAATCTTTCTAA